GTTTAGGGTTTAGGGCTCAGCGTTTCGGGACGGAGCTCAGGGCTTCTGCAAGACGCTCGCCTTTTGCGCGCCCAAAGCGCTGCTTTTTCGCAACTTCGCGGCCCTTCGGGGCTGGGTAGCTTTCTAAATTAGGGTCCCTTTTGGTGTCCTTTTTATAAGGGTGCCGTACTATATTGGGAACCCAAAAAGGGACCCTAATTTAGAGAACTACCCCTCTGCTGTTTGGACTTTGCTAAGAGGCTAAACGGGGTTTCCGAAAATGGGAGACCCTTTATGTAGCAGCCTAAATAACAGGATTGCTGATACAAGGACCCCCAAAAAGGTACCCCTTATCTTCGGAAACTCCCAAATTGACCAATGCATGATCGTCGGAGATGCCTGCAGTAGTTTAAGGCTACCACCAGCATTCTCAGGTAGGCTCGAGCAAGACACGCTGTGCCCGGTCCAAAGCGATTCATGTGGGCACAGCTCGGATCCAACAACAATCCCGTACACGATCCAATAACAATCCCGTACACCATCTTGCCAAACACACCCTCAGAATCCCCGCAAAACAGCAAAAGACACCTTAAATGTTTCTGAAACCCTGAACCTCAAATCAGAACCCCTAAACCCTAAACCCTAAACCAGAACCTGAAACCTTGAACCCTTAACCACCTGAAACCCCAAACCAGAACCCCTAAACCCTAAACCCTAACCCCTAAACCCTAAACGCTGAAACCCTGAAACCCTGAACCCTAAAAAAACCAGAACCCCTCCTAAGGGCCACATCTTTCCGACAGCTCTCTCGATCCTCCGCCCGGCGGGCGGCGAAGTGCGTCATGGGCTGGTCCAGAGCCACCTGCTCAATTAAAGGAAACTACAGGTGGGGAGTTCAGGGTATGTAGACCTTCTATAAGGCTTCCATAAGGTATATAGACCTTCTATAAGGCTCCTATAACGGTAACTACCCACCTCAAAATGTCCTAGACTCAAGGGACCAGGGAACTTCCCCCCCCCCCCCGCCCCCTCGCCTGACCAAGATGACTAAGATTGCCAAGGGTTTAGGGTTTAGGGTTTAGGGTTTAGGGTTTAGGTTCTAAATTCCCGGAAGCCATGAAATCTCGCAGAAACCCCTCACACTTCGCACCCGTCACCGGAGCCAACCCCTCCATCCTGAACCCCCGATCCGGCACAATGGATTAGTAGCGGGCTGAACCCGAAGTTTGAACCAGGCACGAAAAACCTTCACCCTAAACCCTAAACCCTAAACCCTAAACCCTAAACCCTAAACCCTAAACCCTAAACCCTTCACAGCAAGCTGAGGGCTTCCCTTAGCAAAGCCCTAAGCATGAGCCCTGCTCTAAGCTCCGTGTCTCCACGAATCATCACAAAACCACCTCTTTGTCAGGGTGAGGGGTACCCACAGGCCCCATACTAGTATTAGGGTTTAGGGTTTAGGGTTTAGGGTTTAGGGTTTAGGGTTTAGGGTTTAGGGTTCATACTAGTTCCTTTTTGGGATTCCCTAGTGGAATCATAAATATAAGCTACAAAAAGGAACTACTATGGGGCCTATGGGTAGTTGGTAAACCGGTAGACTACGGGTTAGGATGAGGGCTCGAGGTAGCTGGGGCTCGCGCGGAAATCGCAAATCCTGAGCTTCCTGCTGAAGTTACCACACCGACCGTGCCCTTCAGACAACGAATATTTCCTGTGTTCTAGATTCCTGCGATTTCTTTGCAAAGGAAAGAGGTCGGCGCACCTCCAGGAGAGAGTTCAGTGGTCGATTCCTCGCGTTGACCTGACACAAGCGAAAGGCAGAATTTACAAGCGGTTCGCAACTCCGCTGCTCCGATATGGGAGTTTCCCAAAATTAGGGTACCTTATTTTGGGGGTCCTTATAATAAGGATCCTACTATTTAGGGTGCTATATTGAAACCCCCATATCATGCTTGGGAACGGCTGCTGTAGTACGAAACTTGATCGGAGAACAACTTGTCCCGTGTACATTGGGTAAAACAAGAATCAGAGTGCAATCCTGCACACATGTGCCGAGTCCACCCATGTAGCACGTAGCGTGGGCATTGTCCCTGCCTGACACTTCCTGCATGTTGAAGTTCAGCTGCAGCGTGCGAGTACTCACACACTGGCACCATAAACAGCGATCATGGTCGACAATTGGCACTGGTAGTTTGTTGCATGAAGCTATCGCTGGTCTGCACTTCCGATCTAGGTGCTATCATGTAGGTGATCTCTAGTACGCCCTGGCTTCTCGCAAGGCTCTACCGAAAGCCCTACAGCCCTTAACACCCCGAACACTTCCAGACAATGCTTACAGAAAGAAGCCTTCATGGAACCACTCACTCTAACCTCGAGAACTTTAAAACGCATTATGCAGCTTCCTCGGCCGCTGCTCTGCTATGCAAGAAGGACCTGCCTCTCCCTTCATTTCCCAACTCTTCTCTTGCAGCCTTGGTGGGACCAGCACATTCTCCAAGCATACGAAAGTAAGCATGCACATCCATCCATCCACCCATCCATCCATCCATCCATGAATGTCGCAGTATGCATGCATGGATGTTCACAGAGACCGGCAGAGAGGCGGGCGGGCGGGCGGGTGGGCGGGCAGGCGGGAGGGCGGGCGGGCAGGCAGGCAAACAAACAAACAGACAAACAGACAGACAGACAGACAGACAGACAGACAGACAGACAGACAGGACAGGACAGACAGACAGACAGACAGACAGACAGACAGACAGACAGACAGACAGACAGACAAACAAAGTACGTGTATGTGCAAATGTATAGCACACGCACGTTCACACCTGCCCAAACATGCAGGCGCATGTGTATACATGCGTATATGTTTAGTTCAATATGCATACGTGTATGTGTGCATGCACATGTCTGCTTCATCCATAGCCACTGACCAAGTACAAGTTTCCTCTACTTTCTCCTGCATGTATTTCAACCATCGGCGCAACTAATGCAACTAATTCTAACATCACCATTCGTTTTACTAGTAGTCTGTGATCAGTAGTGCAAGCAAGTCTTGCGAGCTTCTTGCCGGGAGTCACTGAGGCCTAAGCTGCTCTTCCTCCAGCTTCCGCACCTCCTCTTCCAGCGACTGCAGTCGCCTTCCAGCAGATGCAGAGGTCGAAATAACAGCTATTGCTGCTGTGTTTTGTTTTCGGTATGAAGGCTGTTGTGACAAACCACTGTGTGCACAAACAAAGTCTGCAGAAGATTCCTGCACATCTTCACAGTAGGTCTGATCTTCGGCCGTGGTAAGTTTGGGTTCGCTTAAGGTTGAGATGGGTAGTTACTGGCGTAGTTGGTCTGCATGCTGGCAGAACCGTTGCCCATGCGGATGGCAAGCAGCCGATCTGGCACCACACCGCCCCTGACCGCCTGTTTCATGTCATTTTTCATGATCTAATTCAAATCGTCGCTCCTATCAGAGCAAATCACCAAGAAAGGCACAACCCATCATGTACTATCAGCCAAGATGGGCATAGGGGTGCTCGATGCCTGAGGATGAGGTGGGAATCAACCCCAGAGTCCAATGCGGACCCTGGCTTGGGAAAGAAAGCCGACATGGGTGGTTGTCAAAATTGTGATCCCTTTTTGGGTCCTTATTATAATACGGCACCTATTATTTAGGGTACCCCAAAGGGGACCATAATTTTGACAACTACCCACATGTCTTTGACAATCTGTCTGACAGTGATGCTTCCGAAAGCAAACCAACGAAGAAAACAAGACTCAATCCCACCATCAGAACCTTCAACCAGGGATAACGAACAAGGTGATGCCTGTAGCTTCTTTTGAACATGCCACATTGAGTATGGCGAGTGATGTCAAGGAACGTCTTTAGGCAGATGTAAGCCGGGCTTGTGCGAAGGACCTCAAAAGCTCAGAGCGATTCGTAGGTTCCTGAGTAGCCCCTTAATAAGAATACCCTTGTTCCCACTTATTGGCTGGAATAAGCGAGTCCAAAAAAGAGAAAGGGCAAAAGGGTACTACTGGGGAACCTAGTATTCGGAATTGTCGATGGTAAGTCAGTGCATCGTCAATTCCACCTGGAAAGCCGCGCCTGTCCATCTCGTAAACCGACTTCTCTTTGCCCTTTGAACCAGACTTTCCTGCCAAGCTCAGCATCGCAACAACAGGGCGCCGCTGCTCTCCGAACAGCTCAACAGCTACCTCAGACGCGAATCATATTCAAGGTGTGCAGATTCCAAGAGACAGCGTCAGCAAAGTAGTGATGGCTCCTAAGACACATGATGACAGCTTCCTGTTCACACTGGAAACTCTCGACTTAGATCCTTCACCTTTTCAGGTCGCCTGCGCCATCCTCACCGTCTTCCTTTCCAGTGACCTGCCGTGCAGTTCTGTTACCGACTTCGGTTTTCTCCATCAGAAGGAACGCAAAGGCGGCTTCGGAGGCTGGGTGTCGTCTAATGCGATCGTCTCTGAGCCTACACCTGTCTAGCCTAGACGGCATAGACAGCCCTGAAGCCGTAGGTAAACCTTCTAGAACCCTTATTGCGCCTGTACCCCGGTAGTACCCGTATTGTAACTAAGCTTACAGCCTTGCTACAGAACCCTTATCGCACCCCTGCAGTACCCTTACAGAAACCTTCGAGCTCCCTAAACCCTAAACCCTAAACCCTCAACCCTAAAAAAGCCTCGCCCTCCTCGTCCTCCTCCTTCTGCTCCTCCTCTTCGCCCTCGTCGTCCTTGGAAGTTCTTCGGATCTCTGGGACTTCGGGGTAACAAGAGTCCTTCGAGGCTGCTATAAGAGTTCTTTGTATATGGGTACTAGGTTTCTCTAGAAAAACCTAGTAGAGTCCTTAGAAGCTGTTATAAGATTTTTTGTGTATGGGTTTACTCGGTTTTTCTAGAAAAACCTAGTAGAGTCATTAGAGGCTGCTATAAGATTTCTTTTTGTATGGGTTTACTCGGTTTTCCGAGAAAAACCGAGTAGAGTCTGTAGAGGCTGCCATAAGATTTATTTTTCTAATGGGCTTACAACAGGTTTGTGTGAGGTTTTACGCGAAGACGCATGGGGAAACCGAAGCAACCGGGGCAAGGGAAGAGCCCCGGCCACAAGACCTCCGAAAGACAAGCCTGAGCCATACTGGGGTTCATATAGGGGTTTCTGAAAATAGGGGACCCTAATATAGCACCCTAAATAATAGGATCCTTAATATAAAGACCCCCAAAATACGGTACCCCTAATTTTTGGAAACTCTCATATTAAAGATAAGGGTTTAGGGTTTAGGGCTGACGTCCCGAGACCCTTTGAGGTTGCATAGAAGGTTTTAAGGGTTTAGGGTTTAGGGTTAAGGGTTTAGGGTTAAGGGTTTAGGGTTTAAGGGTTTAGGGTTTAGGGGTCTAGGTTCCCCAGTAAACCCTTTATAATAAGGGTGCCCTTTTGCCTATCATTCGGAAGGAATAGGGAGACCCTAGCACAAAAAGGGCAAAAAGGTACCTCTGGGGAACCTAGATGTTGTGAGACTCTCTTCTCAGCACCCCGAGAAGACCAGGGGAGGAATTACACGATAAAGCCCCTACAGGAACACCACTCGTCACACTAGTAGTGTCATTATTGCCATGTTTGCGGTGTAGAAACACACAAAAAAATGTTCTAGTACTGCCGTCTCGTTGTCCGTTCAGTGTAAGCTTCTGATTCTGCTTCTTGCAAGAAAAGCCCCGAATGTAGGGGCCTTTCTAACTAGAAAAAGCTATTAGGCTCCTCTATACTGCTCCGGTCCGAAAGTTCGTCTCACTCTGTGTTGTTCACTTGCAACAAACCTGTCCAAGACCCCTTGCCCCCTTACACTCCCCCACAAGTCCTCCGCCCGGAACAATTATAGTACTATAACTTCATTCCGGGATGATAATTCCTCCGCTAGCCCGGCTAGGGTATTCCTCACTCCCTGTACTCCGCGTACTTCGTTCAGTGCCTCTAGCGGACTCTAGCGGATGCGACGAGACTTTACTAAGCACCGGGCAGGTAGTATACTTCTCATACGGAACCCTCAGGAATAATGTTGGTAATTATTTAGGCATCTATATGACTAGTTCCCTAAAACTCGTTTCCCTGTTAGGATCCTTTTCAGACGTACTATAGTAGGGACCTAAAAAGGCACCTAATTTAGAGACCCTCCCATATACCCATATACTATACTGAACTTAGACCCCTAGCAAAAATAATATTTTTAGCTGCTTCTTAGGGTTTATAGTCGCCAAAGATTATAAAAATTATTTCTAAGTACCCCTAAGTATTATATTTTTTGGGTTCTCGGCGCGTCCTCGCCGTCCTGGAGAGCCTTCAGCTGGGCCTCAAGCGCCTTCTCCTCGCGAAACTCTTCTACCAGGGCTTATAAGGTTTGAAGGTTTAGACGGAACTGTGCAATTTTCAGAAGGCTTCTTTTGGGGTATACGGCTGTTTCAGGGGGTTAACTATGTAGTTCTCAAAGGGCTTCTTTTGGGGGATAAAGCTTTTTTGAGAGGGGGCTGGTAGGGATGTTTAGGATTTTAGAGTTCTCATAAAGCTTTTTGGAGAGATTGGTTTGTGAGGGCTTCCCTAGGGTTCGAACTAAGCTTGTCTCAGGTTTCGAAAAGGGTCCTCTTGAGGGTTTTATATTTCGGCATCATAGGGTTAAAGTATAGGGTTCTACCATTTTTTTAAGGCCTGTGGACGGGTTTTCACATGTAAGGAATCCCGTATGCTGCTTGCTCGGGCTGAAACTCCGTACAAGATCCCTGCAATACTTCAGGCAGCATAGGTGCCTGAATGAATACATAGCGTTACAGGGTATATCATACCCTGATTTCTTGGGCCCCGAAGAGAATCACATTATGAAAAGACCCAAAGCTATGTCCCTAGTTCATTTCTCCATGAACAATAACCGTTTGGTTGGCCTCCTCATCGAGCTCCTCCAGCTCTTCGGGCTCTTCCTGGCATGCGCCGAATCTGTTCATGACACTCCAGAAGAAAAGAAGGCCATCTCGGGCATAAACAGAGTGTGTTGCTGTGGTTGGATCCTGAAATTCAATCCTCATTCCTTTGCAGACATACGTAATAATGACTCATAAACCCTAAACCCTAAACCCTTATCTATGCACAGCGTGCCAACTTATGTCCTCCTCCGCGTCCTCGTCCTCCAGTGCCTGCTCAGGGTCAGAACAGAGGCCTAGGGTTTAGGGTTTTTTTTTGGGGGGGGGTTTAGGGTTTAGGGTTTAGGGTTTAGGGTTTAGGGTTTAGGGTTTAGGGCTTGAGGTTCAGGGAGTGCTATAGTCGTTGTCGCAGGGGTTGCAACGCTCAGTGGCACAGGGGCTCTACCTTTTTGAACAAGCCTAGGACCTAGGACACACTGCAAGACGGTGTAAGAGTATCCAAACATCCGGTCTCCTGTATGCAGATATCACATCACCTGCCCAAACACCGAGAGCTACAAAAGGACAGGAGATGAGAGCATTGCGAACTGCTTGAACTCTTAGCTCGCAGCCAGCTGCAGCCAGCTCCTGTTTCTGCAAAACGAAGGTCTCGCAGTCTGAAAACCAATTATCTGCCGCGGCGGTGCGAGACAGGCGGATGCCAGCTTTTGTGTTGGCATCTTAGCTCTGTTTCGCCATTTCCGTCAGAGCAGGGACAAGGAGTGCTTTCAGCTCACCCACCTCGATTTTGCCCGAGCTGTCGTCGTCCGCATGGTCGAACATAGTGTGCAGGTGTTGGCGTGTGATGGGAGGTTGACCAGTTTCCTGAGAGGCATCCCGGATAATCTGATGAAACTCTTCCATTGAGAGGTGGCCATTGTTGTCCGAGTCGTAAAGTTGGAATGCCTTGTGCACGTGATGCTCCAAGTCTTCAGCGTCGAACAACAACAACAACCAACAACAACAACAACAACAACAACAACAACAACGGCGTAAAGCATACAAGCGAACTCATGCCTGGCAGGGGCAAGCCCGTCTGCACGTTGCACAGCTGGGTAAGATCCACTCATCAGATTCCGAGCGCACCGAGCTCAACCCCACGATGTGAAGCCCCGAAATTTCAAAGACCGTGTTCAGCTTGCGCAAGTGCCCAGGGACGATGGCGGCTACGAGCGAGCTCAAGGAGCGTGGCACGGCCTCGCACTCTTTCCAATTTCTCATTGGAAGCATCGTCAGCATCTTGCACTGCGACTCGTCCTGCAAGTCCTTCTCGATTTTTGCCTGCAGGTTCGAGAAGAAGAAGAAGGAGGGATCCTGGGAATTGGTGAGTATTCGCTCCACACAGGTGTGGAGCGAATACTCACCAATTCCCAGGATCCCTCCTTCTTCTTCTCGACCTGAACTTGCAGAAGCAACAGGAAAGCTCCGGCCTCGAAGGTTGCCAGTCGGTCGGCGTGTGCCCGCCAAAACGCACACCGGACCCGGGTGGAGCCCTGTTGAAGGATTGCGTTGCAGACGCTCACGCGACCCTGGTCTGGCACTTCTCTCTCAATGCTTCCCGGGTTCTCAACGACCTGCGCAGCCACGCAAACCTGCTGCTTGTCTTTCACGCGGGCCAGAG